TTTATAAATTTATTAATTCATTTTTATGAAAATTTTTTTGTTTATAGATTTATTTTTTTTTTTTTTTTTTTTTTTTTTTTTTTTTTTTTTTTTTTTTTTTTTTTTTTTTTTTCTTTTTTTTACCCTTTTTTTTTTTTTTTTTTTTTTTTTGAGATGAGGCATTGTTTTTTTCTTCTGTGAATGGAAATCAGTGGCTCTCTCACATCTGACTCTTTGGGCGAGGTCCCCACTTGCAAAGAGGATTGGACTGACCGACCGCCTGAATCTGGACATGTTTGCGGACAGGTGCAGAAAATCGCGATTGATAATTGAACTGCTTTTCTGCATCTGTGCGTAAAACACATCCAGATTCCGGCGCTTAAATATGAAGTTGTCTTTCCCACCCCCCATCAAGGATATAGCAAAATCGTCTCCGACAAATCTGACGGTCAAATCGCTTTGTGTTGTGTGTGCAACTGTCCTGTCCTCTTTTTTTTTTTTTCTTTCCTGTTTTTCCCTGTCCTGTTTTTCTGTCCTTGTTGGTGTGTGGAACTGTCCTGTCCTCTTTTTTTTTTTTTCTTTTTTTTTCTTTTTTTGCCTATCCTGTTTTTCTGTCCTTGTTGGTCAGCAGATAGGTTCTGCTTTTTCTGTATTTTTCGCTGGTCTGAAGTCCAAGCAGAGAAAGCCAGGCGGCGAAGCGGACGTCAGGGCGATGTGAAATTGGCACCAGAGTTGCTGAATTGCCCCTTGTGCAAGGTTGGTGGCTCCCAAAAAAAAAAAAAAAAAAAAAAAAAAAAAGAGGTGGTGGGGTTGTGAATGTGAAAACAGACAGTGGACTGTTTTAACTTAGCTGTTGTAGCAGCGTGCGACTTAGGGCCAGATCCCACTGGCCAAAAAAACGATTGGAATAACTGTCTGAATCTGGACGTGTTTGTGGAGAGGGTGCAAAAAACTGTAATTGATCTGCTTTTCTGCATCTCTTCCTGGAAACACGTCCTGATTCAGACACACACTTATTCCAATCCTCTCTTTGCCAGTGGGATCGGCCCTTAGCTGTTGTAGCATAGCAGAGTGTGACTTGGCTGTTGTATAGCAGAGTAGCAGAGTCTGACTTGGCTGCAACGCTGGTGTCCCACGTGAGCCCATTAGAATCTCTCTGTGCTGTCGCCTGTGTCATAGCTGAGCTTCAGACACACAGGGACCAACAGATTGGTCCAGGCTGATCGAACGGTTCCAATCTGTGCCCTGCCTCAGGCAGATTGGTCCAGGCTGATGGAACGGTCCCAATCTATCTTTGCAGTCAAGTCTGGACCATCAGCCTGGACCATCAGTCTGGACCATCAGTCTGGACCATCATCCTGGACCATCATCCTGGACCATCAGTCTGGACCATCAGCCTGATTGGACCTCAGGCAGATTGGTCCAGGCTGATGGAACGGTTCCAAGCGGTGCCCTGCCTCAGCTAAGCTGTGCCGTACTTGAATGCAAAGATAGACTGGGACCGTTCCATCAGCCTGGACCATAAGGTGTACCATAGCCGGGACTATAGTCTGGACCATAGCCGGGACCAAGATTGGAACCGTTCCGATAACCTGGACCAGAGGTTGGACCATAAAGTGAACGGTTCCATAACTTAGATGATAGCTTGAATCAAAAGAACGGGACCATTCTCCTATCCTGGACCAAGTATTTGAACCATTCCCTTTCCCTGGACCATAGCTGGGACCATAAGTTCCACAGTTCCATAGCTTGGACCATAAGCTCTACAGTTCCGTAGCGCGGTCCATAGCTTGGTCCATAGCTTGGTCCATAGCTTGGTCCATAGCTTGGTCCATAGCTTGGAACATTGTTCGGACCAGAGCTTGGTCCAGAGCTTGGTCCATAGCGTGGACCAATGCTTGGACCATTGCTTGGACCAAAGCTTGGTCCATAGCTTGGACTAAAGATTGAAACCGATTCGATCCCATAGCTCGGTCCATGCATAGCCTGGACCCAAAGCTGTGCAGTACACTAAGGGTATTCCTGCAAAAGTGACGTATCAGCTTTGCAGTTCACACCTTTGTAGTATGTTTGCTAGATTTGCGCAATATCTGATCTATTTGCCACATGCTCTGTGAGTCTGTACCTTATCCCATTAGTTCGCCGGATACTTTGTGGGGCATAGTTTCTTGGTTCGTGGCATACCTGATCGCTTTGGCACATACTTCGTCACATAGCTGAGCGCTTTGGCACATACTTTGTTGCGTAGCTGAGTAGTTTGCCACATGCTTTGTGGCATAGCTGATCTCTTTGCCCTATGCTTTGTGGCATAGCTGATCTCTTTG